CAGATTAACTGGGTGGTTTTAAATCTTCATACTGAGAATTTAGTCTGAAGAGTTTTCCAGCTGGTAATGCCACCAAACACAGGGCAGAAACAAATAGAAATTCTCTCTGGAAGAAACCACCTTCTACCAGATCTCAAATAATTCCCACAGGTAAAGTTTATAATTCTTACCACACAGTCAAAAGTTACAAAACAAAGAAGGAAACATGGTTCTGGGGGCAAGAGGTGAGAAACAACAGACAACAGAATCTAACTTGCAAAGATTTCAGACATTGAGATTAACAGGCACAGAATATAAAATAAATACGTTGAACATATTTAAAGAATCAGGAAGTTGATGTAAACATGGAGGCAGAGACAGGAGTGATGCCGCTGTAAGCCTGGAACACCAAGGGCGCTAGCTACCTCCAGAAACTAGAAAGAGGCATGAAAGGTTCCATCCCAGAACCACTGGAGAAAGCATGGCCCCACTGACATCTTGTTTTTGGACTTCTGGCCTCCAGAATTGGGCCTTGGGGTTACCGAGGATACCCCAACAAGATTGCCAGTCACAACCAAAGAAGCCAACACAGTCTTCCACGCGGAGCTCAAGACCCCTTCCTCTCATCTGAGATCAGCTAGGGTGAGAGTTCTGTGAATCCCCCAATAGGCAGGGACAACTCTATGCCCCTGCCCAGCAGGAAGCAGATACAGAAGAAGAGACCTTCTGTCCCTCAACTTCCCATAGAAATTTTATGGGGATCACGTCTCTCAAGGAGAAAACAAGGCAGGCAGTTAGAGGCAGGCATTGGGTCTCTGCATTCCTGCACGTCCCACAGAGTGCGACCGCCAAGGGGACATCCCCTCTACACCCAAAACTGCCCTTTGTTTTGTAATCACCTACCCCTGTGGGAAAACAAATGGGCACAAAATACCCAACTAGATCAGACCACTCACTTTCACCTGCGCAGTACCTCTTGTCAATCACAGGTGCCAATCAAGTGGTCCCACGCCCTTAGGGGAACAGCCCATTCTAGAGAAAAAGGATAAAAATTCCAAGTCCTGGGAAGTCCACCCGCTCTTTTTGACCACTTCTTCCTTTTTCAACCCCTTCTTCCCTTTTTTTAAGCCTTTTGAGCCTCACCTTGGCGCGTGGCCCGCTCCAAACTCTTTGAAATGTACTATCTCTTCAAATAAACTACTTTTTCAGTTACTTAAAAAAAAAAGAATCAAAGAAGAATCTACAAATATGAGTAAGGAGCAAGAAACTATAAGTATGATAAAAAACATTTGAAAAAGAACAAAATAGAACTTCATAAAAATGAAATTATGATATTTGAAATTATAAGAAATCTTCAGTGAATAAACTCAGCCAAGGTTAGACATAGCTGAACAGAGAATTAGTGAACAAAATGAAGATGAAAAAATATGACAGAAGTTAAGAAACACAGAAGAGAGATTAAGAAAGATTAACATGCCTTGCTAAACTTCCAGAAGCAAAAAAGAGAGAGCATCAAGGAGAAGCAACAGCTGAAAAGGTAATGGCTAATTTTTTTCCCAAACTGATGAAAGACACGATTCATAGATTCAAGATGCTTAATGAAATAAAGCAGGATAAATACCAAAATACTCACAACTGGACACATGATACTAAAGAGAAGGAAAATACCACAAAAGCAGCCAGAAGACTGTCATACAAAGAAACGGCAATAAACTTACAGCAACATCGGAAGCTAGAAGACATTGGAATAATATTTCCAGGTGCAGAGAGTACATAATGATCAACCAAGAATTGGGTATCTAGTGACTATGAGTGAAACAGACATTTTAAGACAAATAACAACTAAGAAAGTTTGTCATCAAAAGGAAAATAAATTTTAAAGCATTTACTTTGGACAGAAACAAAGTAATTCTGAAGAGAAGAACTGATATGCAGAAGGAATAGTGAACAAAGTAGCAGTAAATATGTCAGTAAATCTAAATGGATATTGGTTTTATTAAACAATCACGACTTGTGAACAAACACGAAAATACACACATCATAGAATGTGAATTGGGAGGGATTAATTAAAGTCATAGTGTTCTAACACCTCTGACTTTTCAGGAGCAACATAAAATTACTATTTACATTAGACTTTATTAAGTATTCCTACTAATATTTTAGGGTAACCTTAAAAGAATAGAAATGATTGTATAATTTTGATGGTCTAACATGTCCCCTTACAAGATAAATTGTGAGAATGGGTTTTTAAGAATCCAGCTATACACAAAACATATATAAAGCATTAAGAAGTGGAAAGGTTGAAAGTAAGAAGACTTATTAGACAAAAGCCAAAAGAAATCTGATGTAATAGCTGGGAAAAGAACTGTAAGATAAAAAATTACTACAGATAAAGAGAGTTATTACATAAGTATTTTTGAAAAAGTTCAATTCATCAGCAAGCTATGTAATTCTCCACTTGCATGTTCTAATAATATAGTCCCAAAATATATAAAGCAAAATTTGAGAGAACTTCGAAGAGACAAAACAACCACCACAGTGGGTGGTGTTAATATATCTTCCTTTGCAGTTGACTGATTAAGAAGACAAAATCAATGAAGATATAAAAGATATAAGCACAATTAACAAACTTGATGTAAGGGATAAATAAAAACACAAAAACAGCAATGTACACAGTTTATTTTTTCAGGCACAAACAGAATATATGTGAAAAATGAGTATGTCTGGTCCAAAAAGCACATCTCAATAAATTTCAAATGAGTCAAATACACAAGCTTTAGAATCAGTAATAAAAAGACAGCCAGAAAAATCCTTTGTTTGGGAATTAAGAAATACTTCTAAATAAGTTGTGGATGAAAGATGAAAGAATAATGGAAATTGGAAAATATTCTGAACTACACTATAACAGATATACGACATATAAAAACCTGCGGGAATGTAATATAGCCGAAATAGTTCTTAGAGGGAAATTTATAGTGCTAGATGCTTAAATAAGATTGAAAAATAATGAATTAAGCATCAAAATTAAGATGCCAGGAAAAGAATAACAAAATAAACTCAAATGTAATAGAAAGAAAGAAAGAAGAGAGCATAAATGGATGAAATAGAAAATAAATATATCAAAACAAGTGTTAACAAAACCCAAACTGGTTTTCTGCAAAGAACAATAAGACGTGAAACCTCTGGCAATATTGATTTTAAGAAAAGATACAAAATTAGAAATGAAACAGAGAATAAAAATGTATAATAAGACATAGTATACACAACTTTATAGCCAATAAATTTGATAACTTAATAAAATGGTCTCAAGAAAAAAAAAGGATGATCTAAATAGTTCTTAGTCATTAAAAGTATTAAATATATAGTTTGAAATCTTCCAAGAAGAGAACATTAAACCCAGGTAGTTTTGCTGAAAAGTTCCAAGAATTCCAAAGTTCCAAACTTTCAAGACAAAAGTTATTCCAGTCTTCCACTAATAACCCCATAGGACAGAAAGAGAGGAAACACACTCCAAATTATTTTATGAGGTTAGCAATATCTTGATAAAAAAAATCTGGCAAGAAAAAAACACACAAAAACAATCTCACTAAGAAAATAGAAGCAAATTACTAAAGAAAATATTAGCAAATCAAATATAGGCGTGTACAAGAAAGATAATACTGAATGACTAAGTTGGGTTTATCCCAGAAATGCAAGGTTGGTTTAACGTCACAAAAATCAACCAGTGTAATTCACCACACTAAGAAAATAAAGGAGCAAATCATATGATGATCTCAATAGATACAGAAAGGTTGGTTGATAAAACTAACCATCCATTCAAAATAAAAGCCCTTAGAAAATTAGGATTAGAAAGGAACTATAAATTAAAAAAAGAAAAAGTTCAGCAAACATGATACTTAATGATGAAGAAGTAAAACATCTATATAACATCAATGACAAGAATGCCCTCCATCATCACAATGATTTGACATTATACTGGAGGTTCTAGCCAGCACACTGGGGTGAGAAAAGAATAAAAAGATGGAAAGGAAGAAACAAAACCATCATTCTTTGCAGATGATAACTGTCTTCTGTAGAAAACCCCAGACAATTCACAGATAAATTATTATGAGAGTACTATATACAAAAATCATATAATAAAAATTAGTTGTATTTCTAAACATCAGCAAGAAGCAGGTAAAAAATGAAATTTTAAAAGATATGATTTATAACAGCAATAACAAATATAAGATATCTAGGAGTAAATATATATCAAGAAATGTACAAGGTCTGTAATAGTAAAAAATTACACATGTTTATTGAAAGCCCTAAGTAAATAGAGAGATAGACCATACTCATAGACTGGAAGACTCAGTATTATAAGCATATCAGTTCTTCTCCAATTGATCTATACTTTTGGTGTAATTAAAATAAATACTCCAACAGGTTATTTTGTGGATCTTGGCAAGATACTTGTAAAATTTATGAGAGAACAAAGGGCATGTCATAGGAAAGAGAACTAAATGTGAAAGAAACATGTGAAAAGATGTATATAGCAGTGGAAAATGACACACACCAACAAAGAGAAATCTTAGGGAACATAAAATTCTGAGTTGAAACTGATTAAGAATATATACAACACAATTATGTTTATATGACGCTCAAATGCTCGCCTACTAAACAATGTATTTTTAAGGATACACATTTACATGTAAAGTATAAAGAAAAGCAGAGGACTAAGCATATAATCAAGGTCGTGTTTACCTGGGGATAGGGGATGGAATGGGATTGGTGAGGGACACCCATCACTAAGTTAACCGTGATTTGGCTCTGCAGATTTCTATTGTATTGATGTTCTTTGTATCTTAGTTGCTATTTTACAGATGCTTTTTACCGACGCAATATTTAATAGAAACAATTTTTAAGAATTGTCTGCAGAGAATCTACCAAAACCAAGTTCTGCATTCGCAACCCCTTGTAGACCAACTGTCCCCAACCGGCCCTGCCCTCAGGACCCTCCCCACCCTCCCCAGGAGCCTTACCTTGGCAGGGTTGAGTGCTGTGATGATCCACACACAATGTGCATTGTTGTCATACTGAATGGGGAAATTGGGGGAGGTGATGATGCCCGAGGGGCCTCGCAGGTGGGCATCACACATGCGGGCTGCAGAGAGGAGACGAAAGACAAGCCTTTTAGTTTACACTAGGTCCAGTTCCCATCCCGACCTCCCACCCCCAGCCCATAAGAGACTGAAATCTGTACAGTCCCAGCCCAGACATAACTTTCTGCTTCCTGTTTTCTTCTCCCATAGTTCTCAGCAAGCTCAAAGGGAAGTCACAGTTCCTGGAGCACTGAGGGAGGGGGAGGCCCAGAGTTCCGTGACCTTCTGCTCTGTAGGTCATGGTGGGCTTCCATGGTCAGGCTAAGCCAGTCCCCTCCCCTGAGTCACTGGGATCCAGCAGCTCATCTCCACCCAGAGGGTGTGGGTGAGGACTCCTCATAGTGACCAAATGCTAGGTGGGCCCCAGGCACCTGTGGGTCTGCTAAGCTGCCCACCCCTTGTTCTGCTGACTTGTCTGTTTCCCCATTTGCTCTCAGGTCTCCTGAAGTAGAATCTCAGGGTGTCCTTAACAAGTCCACCCAATTAGATCACAGAGTGCCTGTGCCCAAGGACTCTGCCAAGGTCCCCAGCTCAGCCCAGTGCCAGGCACCCAGGGTGATCTCAGTGCCAATCAAAGACTTCCCCAGTCCTTCCCACACTCAGCACATGTCTAAAACAGGCTTTTGACTGGAAGTGTAAAGATTCAAGGTGAATTAGAAGAAGTGCTCTACTCAAGTAGATATAAAGTATTATCAATCACAGCTTAATCTAATTAAGCTCTTTAAAATAGCTTCTAAACTAATTAGATTAAGTAGTGATTGATAACAGTTAAGGTGCTACATTGTATCTAGGTGTTTGCCTTCTTTTAAAACGTGTTCTTTAGTTCTAGCCACTTCATTCTTCAATGTTAGTGCTCAGCTATTTTAATAAAGCGTTCTATGAGCCTGCTCTGTTGCTGCCCACATGGCAATTTATCCTAATTGTAGGTAAAGTGCCCAACAGTAAAGAAATAGTGAGCAAACTCAACACGCCTAAGTAGATAAAATGAAAGTGGTGTCAAACCTGGTTTCCTCTGATGGGGCAAAATATCCTAGAGCTCCTCTCGGTGTGTGGATGGGCCATGATAAACCCATCCAGGGAAACCCTTTTTGGGAGGGCCTGGGAAGCACTTTCCACAGCTCCCAGACATAATTCATCTCTTCTCATTTCACGAGCTCATTCCTGCACTCACTCATTGCAACATTTATTGAGTGCCGCTTACAGGCCGGGAAGAGTGCGGGGAGAGAAAAACGTCTAAGACACAACCCTCCTTTCTGAAGGGCCACCAGCAAGTGGAGGAAACAGGTATGAAAACAGTTCGAATTAAGTGGAACCAGTGTTATCAGAGGGTTATCTGCAGGAGGCCTCTGGGTCAGAAGGGTTCCTTCTTCTCTTCTAGTTCATCACCTTCAGTGGGGACGTTCCTTCTGGTGGCTCCCCCCAGCCCTGCACCTAAAGGATCTTCTCCCTCACCCTGAGCTCAAATGTCAGTTGAATCAAGTCTGAACAAAGCCCTAGGGCAGCGGTTCTCAACCTTCCTAATGCCGCGACCCTTTAATACAGTTCCTCATGTTGTGGTGACCCCCAACCATAAAATTATGTTCGTTGCTACTCTATAACTGTAATTTTGCTACTGTTATGAATCGTAACGTAGATATCTGATATGCAGGATGTATTTTCATTGTTACAAATTG